TTGCTAAAAGGTTATTTTAAAAAATACTGGTTCAACATTTAAGTATAACTTCTCTACAGCAATAAAACAACACAAACCTCTTTTAAATATGCATTCTGTTAAGATTTAGGCCAAATTCTTAGCTGGTATACCTTTGCCAAAGTTCTGCTGAAGTCAATGGAACTAAACCAATTTATATCAACTAAGAATCTGACTCTTTCTCTAGAACTGTCATTCATCATGGGAAAAGTCAAATAAATAAAATATATATATCTGAATTCATAATCATGTTTTAAATTTAGTTCCCCTTTCTCCTAGCATCAGACTGGTGGATGCAAGAAATGACAGGAAAAAGACAGAAGAGAGGCCTCTAAAGGTGGTCAAAGTAGTTGGGGCTCATACTGTTTAGTTGCCATTTCCAATATATCAACGCTTCCCTCTGATAATAAAGATACGTTAAGCCCACTTGCAAATAATGTGTCTCATTCCTCTCTAGTGATGGTCCACATACATTATAACAACCTACTATTGCTACTAGGGTTGTTTATTCTTTTCCAGAGATGAATGTCCCATTTGTAAGAGGATACTGCAATTTGCCCCTCTCCTTCAGTTAGGGTGAAATAAGTCCTCTTTTAACCCTCCTTTAAAAGTAGCCACAATTCATTGCTACTGAGTGCAATATTCAACTTTTTTTCTTCATAAATATAACAGAGCTAAATACTAGCTAATAATTGGTTTATTGCCTATAAGTAGTAAGGCAGATCTTGTAATCTCACATTATTCTGGATTTAAATACATCTGCATCATATTTACTAACACCAGATGCATAGTCATTACTACAGCATAAGTTAGGCCTGGGAAAAATATGGCCTGTGGGCCGCATCCAGCCTACCAAGCCACTGGATCCAGCCCATGGAAGTAGCAGGGAGACCCAGGCAGGCTCCTCTGCTTGCCCTGCAGCCCTGCATGTCACTCAGAAACGTGACTGTTGGGCCCTGTTTCTGTTTCAAAACTGGAGGGGTGGGGAGGAAAGCTTCAGGAGCTGCCCCTCACCCCCAGCACAATCCCATTGGCTTGTTTCTTGCCAGAAACTGGCCAATAACAGGCGGCCAAAAAGAACCATGACACCTCTCCTTGGCTCAGTTATTCACACAAGCACATGGCTCTGCAGCCTGTGGAGGTGCAGGGTTGGCAGACAGGCTGGCTGAGAAACATTTTTAGCTCTGCAAGCCTTAGCTCTGCAGGCAGACAGGCTGGTCTGGCTGCTGGCTGGTAAGACTCCTAGCCAAAGCCTACCTCCGGCACTCCAGTCCCTCCCTTCCCCAACCCTCATTCCCCCCAATCAACATACTCAAACTCTCTGTCCCTCTTCTATACCCATACCCCCTCCCAGCTCTGGCGTCCCAATCTCCTGCTCCAGATCGCAATCCCCTCCTACTCTAGATCACATCTCAAACCCCGGCACAACAGTCCCCTTTGTTAGGCCACAACTGCCACCTTCACCCAAAATCCCTTCCAGACTTCATTCTCCCTCCTGCACCCCAATCCCTTACCCCAAGCTCCTTTCCACACCCAACCTCCATCCCAGACCCAGCATCGCCTCCATTAATATCATGGAAGAGTGCAGCCCTCCAACACTTTCCAAAATCTTGCTGTGCCCCCCCCCCATCAAAAAATTATTGCCCACCCCTGGCATAGATATATGTGTTATACTGAAGTTACTGACAGACAAACACTCAGATGGACAGAGGCTTTTGTACCAATAAAAGATATGAGCCAAGAAAAACTTAAGTTATCACAAACAATTTTCTTCTTATAAATGGGTGTATCAGTTACTTTATATCCTACCACAGATTATATCCTACATAGTATGAGCAGAAGCTTTGGAGTCGATTGTAAAGCATGTAATTTCAAGCAAGAGAATTACTTCTGATTTTGCTATAAATATTTTGAATGGAATTCCGATCCTAACTACATTCTAGAAGTGTTGTTTTCCTTCTGGCAGCCTGAGGTCAGGAAGACACTCTCATGTATATTTCTAATTTTTACATTTTTTTCTCATGCTTCAGTTGGCAGGATCCTGCAAGGTTTCTACAGAATTAAACTGATGTTCTTCTGAGTGATTTGTTGAGCCTGGAGTGTGAATACCTGTAATTTGCATGGACTACCTCCACTTTTCAGTTGCCAGTACAGTATTTATGTCAATGCACATCAATCTTGACTGCCATATCCTTGCTATTACAGTGTTGGGTCTACTCAGAGAAGCATGACAATTTTATGCAAAAATGTGTGGTGATTTTGTAATGTAAACAAAAGTTCACCAGCAACCATTAAGATCACCTGCTTATTTGTACTTGTTAAAATCAAATTAGAATCAAGAAAGTCTCAAAACATAGAAGCCATTAGTCCTTTACTATTAAAAGATCCATAAATTTCTGTTCTTTAAACACGCGAGATTGATCAAAATATCAACATTCTAGGATAATGCACAAAGGATTTTTATCTTTACAAGGCCATCCCTGTTACTATACTCATATGGTAGTCAGTATTGCTAAGGAGTATTATATTCTACACTAGTTGGTGCTTCCTAAAGGCTGATGTCTTTCTGTCCCCTTCATACTGCACTAATGTTGAAATGGGAGGTGATAAAGACATAATATAACCTATGCTAGGATGAGTTGGGTTGGGTCTGCTACCCAACCAAAAAATGGCAGAAAACATTACTAGTGAATGCTGCTAAGTGAGAGCTTAGCATTATGGACAGATCTAATCTACAGATTGAACTGCCCAACTACGGTGCTGTACCATCAACCAAAGGAGATTGCCCATGACCACACATTTTGCAAAGTGCTAGTCCCTGCAAACCAGCATCACCTCTGTTTTGCCTGCAGTTTGCTCCAACCAGCTATTCTTCATCCCTGCACTGATCTTACTCAGTGGTAGTGGTACTGTTATATGAAATAAAAGATAAACATAGCATTTGCATGTAGCTGGCACCGAGTCCATGTTATGTTATCATTTCAGCTCGTGGTCTCATGTTGAATTTGAAAAGGACCAGAGAAATTCTTCTGGGACTCCACAAGTGAGGGAACTATTCAATGAGGTGCAGTTTCCTATCTCTACTCTTTGGGTGCATCTCTCCAAGAAGAACTTGAATAATTTTAACATATTGCTTTGGACTTCGCTCTCTTTCTCTCTCTCTCTCTTTTTTTTTTTTTTAAGGCACAGTATTCTATGGTTTGCCATCAGATGCTGCAGAGATTGTTCAGGATGAAAATGAATGCCCATTCATAAAAGTAAGAGATCACACAAGTCCAAATTGTGCCAGGTCTAGGATATTCACTCTGACTGTGCACTACAGTTAGAATATGATTGCCCGAGCATGAGAGCAAAATGAATGAATGGTTCTTTGCATTTTCACCTTTGAATAAACCAGGCAGGGCCAGCGAAGGCATGGTCCACAGAGTTTAAAATAGAATTAAGAAAATGTCTACCAAATCAACTTTTTGTTCTTCACAAATGAATCTTCAGTAAGCAGGTAAACAAAGAGAAATTATGTGTTACGCGTGATAACCATCCTCTGTCTTTTTCCAGGGTGAGTTCACCTGCTATCTTAACTAAGTCATCACTCTACATATTGAATGCAACTAGTATCAAATAAAACAAATCATTGTTGCAGCAGTATAATAATAGGCTTATGTGCAATTCAAAAGAATTACTATATATCAAATAAAATATTATGTAAGTGATAGAATCCCCTACATGTAACAACATAGTTTGGACCAGATCTTATTTCTGTTGTACAGGCAGTGGAGTAGAGAATGCATACAAATCTCTTTTGCAAGGTGAAAGATAAATCCTTTCCCTCATACTCAGGAAGGCACTAGCAGTTTGGGAGGAGGATGCCTGGGTTACTCTTTCATATTTGTTAAGTAATATACCATGTCCCATTCACTTTATATTAAATATAAGTTTTAGAAATACTGAGTATTTCATCAGTTTTGATTTGCTTTTTCGTAGTGCAATACTAATATCTAGAGCTTTGTAAGGAAATTCACTGAAACATATGTAAGTGTTGATTTCCTAAGAAAAAATGTGAACTAACTTCTGTCTTTGAACATAAAGAAATTTAAAATACCCTGAAATGTTTTCACTTATTTGTTAAATTTCAGTACACTTATGGAAATATATATGCACTATAATTATTTACTTTTATAATTATAGTGCACAACCTCAAAATACTGCTTTTGCGCAGACGGGCACTATAATATAAATTGTTCTTAGCACTGCCTGACAGTGGTCATTCACAAACATTTTAAAACTTTAAATTTATATACCCATATTTTTCATTTGTGTAGTATTTTTTATAACATACAGGTTGAACCTCTTTTAATGCTGGTTTGGCAACATCTGTGGTCCAGCAGGACCATGGATGTTCCAGGACCAGAGAGTCCCAATGGAAGGCTAGGAGCTGAGCTCCCCGCAGCTGGGCTGCCCAGTGTGCCGCAGCTGGGCTACTAGATACAAATCAGTAGGGCTGCCCGGTGGGGCCAGGAGCCTGGTGCACTGTAGCGGGTGGGGCCAGGAGCCCAGCATGTTGCAATGGGGCTGCCCGATGCCTCTAGGAGCTCAGTGCTCCAGAACGGGGCTGCCCAACACATCCAGGAGACCAGCGCGCAGGGAGCTAGGCTACTCAGCTTAGCAGGGAAGGGAGAGGGACTGGCAGGGAAGTGGAGCTAGTGACAGGGAGTAGCGGGGAGAGGCTGGAGACCAGTCCTGGGCTGGGGGAGTCATTAGAGGGTTGCCAGATATGACTTCCCTTCATCCTGCAAACTGCCTCATCTGGGACCGGTCAGGTCCTGAGGGTGCCAGATCACAGAGGTCCAACCTGTATTACAAAAATGGCTATGTTTTGTTCTGTTTTGTTTCCATTCTGTACAGATTAAAATAAATGAAAAGAAAAGAGCACATACATTTCTTAACCGGTAAAAAATTCATAAATAGTAACAAGGATTGCTTACCTTGATGGACTGACTATAAGGTCCTATGTTAGCAGGTGCCCAGTGAGAAATGCTCTGCACATGCATGATCTGTTTTTGATAATTGCGTACATCACCAACTGTAACGTCACACTTATGTGCAAGGCAATCCATCGAAAAGAGTACTCCATCAACAAGTGGAGCTTCCACACACACTCTGAAAACACAAATCATGAAAGATTATATGAGTATCTTTTGAATCACAGAAACACAAGGCTGGAAAGAACCTTGGGAGCTTGGGAGGCAGGTTGGAAGAAAGGGATCATGAAATTATAGATTTCATGATTCTAAGGAATGGTAGAAGGGAGAACAGCAAAATAGAGACTATGGATTTCAGGAAAGCAGATTTTAGTAAACTCAAAGAGCTGGTAGGTAAGGTCCCATGGGAGGTAAGGTAGGTAAGATCCCATAGGAGGAAAAACAACTGAAGAGAGTCCGCTTTTTAACGGGACATTAGTAAGGGCCCAAAAGCAAACTATTCCACAATGTAGGAAAAATAAAAAGTATGGCAAGAGATCACCTTGAAGCAACTGGGAGATTTTACATAATCTAAAAATCAAAATGGAGTTGTATAAAAAGAGGAAACTATATCAAATTGTAAAGGATTAATATAAGCAAACATCACAAGTATGAAGGGGCAAGATTAGAAAAGCAAAGGCACAAAACAAGCTAAATCTAGCTAGAGGCATAAAGGGTAACAAGAAGATGTTCTACATGTATATTAGCAGCAAGAGGATGACCAAGGACAGGGTAGGCCAACTGCTCAGCAAGGAAGAAGAAACAATAAGAGGAAACTTGGAAATGGCAGAGGCGCTTAATGACTTCTTTGTTTCAGTCTTCACCAAGAATTCTTGATGATGAAGAAATGCCTAACATAGTGACTGTTAGTGGACCTGGGGTAGGTTTAGAAGTTAAAATAAAAGAACAATTTAAAAATTACTTAGAAAAGTTAGATGTCTGTAAGTCACCAGTGCCTAATGAAATGCAGCCTAGAATACTTGAGGAACTGATAGAGGAGGTATCTCAGCCTTTATTTATCATCTTTGAAAAGTCATGGAAGACAGGAGAGATACCAGAAAACTGGATAAGGGCAAATATAGTGGCCATCTATAAAAAGGGAAATAAGAACAACCCAGGAAACTATAGACCAGTCAGTTAACTTCTGTACCAGGGAAGATAATGGAACAAGTAATTAAGGAATTCATCTGCAAACATCTGGAATAAGGTGATAGGTAACAGCCAACATGGATTTGTAAAGAACAAATTATGTCAAACCAATCTGATAGCTTTCTTTGATAGGATAACAAGTCTTGCGAATAAGGGAGAAGCGGTGGATGTGGTATACTTAAACTTTAGTAAGGCATTTGACACCATCTTGCATGACCTTCTTATCAATAAACTAGGGAAATATAACCTAGAGGGGTTACTATGAGGTGGATGCATAACTGGCTGGATAACCATTCTCAGAGAGTAGTTATTGATGGTTCACAATCATGCTGGAAGGACATAAATGGGGTTTCACAGGGCTCCGTTTTGGAGCCAGTTCTGTTCAATATATTCATCAATGATTTAGATGATGGCATAGAGAGTATGATTATTAAGTCTGCAGGTGATACCATGCTGGGAGGGGTTGCAAGTGTTTTGGAGGATACGGTCAAAATTCAAAATGATCTGGACAAACTAGAAAAATGGGTGGAGGTAAACAGGATGAAGTTTAATAAGTAGAAATGCAAAGTACTCCACTTAAGAAGGATCAGTTTCACACATACAGAATGGGAAATGATTGTCTAGGAAGGAGTACTGCTGAAAGGGATTTAGGGGTCATAGTAGATGACAAGCTAAATATAAGTCAACAGTGTGACACTACTGCAAAAAAAGCCAACATTGTGAGCAAGACACGAGAAGGCATTCTTCTACTCTGCTCTGTGCTGTTTAGGACTCAACTGGAGTATTGTGTCTTGTTCTGGGCACCACATTTCAAGAACAATGTGGAGAAATTGGAGAAGGTTCAGAGAAGAGCAACAAAAATGCTTAAAGATCTAGAAAATATTAGCTATGAAGGAAGACGGAAAGAACTGGGCTTTTCAGAAAAGAGAAGACTGAGAGGGGACATGATAGCAGTTTTCAAATATATAAAAGGGTGTTATAAGGAGAAAATTGTTCTCCTTGGCCTCTGAGTATTGGACAAGAAGCAATGGGCTTAAATTGCAGCAAGGGAGTTTTTAGGTTGGACATCAGGAAAAACTTCCTGTCTATCAGGGTATTAAACACTGGAATAAATTACCTAGGGAGATTGTGGACAGACACCTGTCAGAGATGATCTAGATGATGCTTGGTCCTGCCATGAGGACAGGGAACTGGACTCGATGACTTCTCGAGGTGTCTCCCAGTTCTAGTGTTCTGTGATTCTATGATTGAGTGATCATAAAATCCAGCCTCCTACAGTAAGGCAGCACCAATTAGATCAATACCATCCCTGACAAGCATATGTCCAACCTGTTCAGAAACAATGAAGGGGATCCACAAACCCCCTTCAAATCCTACTCCTGAAATCAGTTACTGTTAGAAAGCTTCCCCTCCCCTAATAGCTAACCTAAATCTCCCTTCCTGTAGAATAAGCTAATTACTTCTTGTCCTTCCACTACAAAAGAGGCCTTAACATATTTGAAGACTGTTATCAGATCCCCTCTTAGTCTTCTTTTCTCAAGACTAAATATACCTAGATTTTTTAAAGTCTTTCCTACAAGGTCAAATTTTCTAAACCTTTTATTATTTATTCATTTTTTGCTCCTCTCTGGACTCTTTCCAAATTATCTATATCCTTCCTAATGAGTGGCACCTGGAACTGGACACAGTACTGCAGCTGAGACTGCAAGAGTACCAAATAAAAGTAGACCATTACTTCCCTTATCTGACATATGGCACCACTATGAATACGCACAGGAATGGTATTAGCTTTTTTTTTTTTTTTACAACTACATCACATTGTTGACTCATATTCAATTTTGATTCACTATAACCCCCAGATCCTTTTGAACGGTTCTATCGCTTAGACAGTTGTTCTTCATTTAGCAGTTGTGAATTTGATTTTTCAATTTGTCAGCCCACTTTGGGCTCTACCCCTGCCTTCTAATGTGCTTGCAGTGCCACTTAGCTTAGTGTCATTTGCAAATCTTATAAATATACACCCTACTCCATTAGCCAACTTATTGAAGAAAATGCTAACACCTAGACCCATGGCCTTTCTCCTGCACAGCCCCTCTAGAGACACTTTCCCAATCTGACAGTGAACTACTGATGTTATTTACCCCACCCTTACCAATACGCTATTACCACTTTTCTGTGGTTACTATGTTAAAGACTTTGGTTGGAAATGTATGACAAAGCTACAGTATCAAAGATATTCTGCTGACATCTCAGTGAGATGGTGGTCAATTTCAGGTCTTGCAGTGAGTCAGTTTTCATTGATGGAGAGAAATAGACATCACCGAATGAAGGCTGGTGTTACTCGTTCAATTACTTTATACATGTGTCCTTATTAACACTATGTACATGAGACCTGTTCTCCGTAGCTAAGGGTATGTTAACACAGCAAGGCAAAAACTGAGTTAAGCTACACAAACTGAGCTACATCAATTGTGTAGTTGAAATCGAAATAGCTTAATTCAGCTTTTGGTGCTGTCTACACAGCAGGAAGTCTAAGGAAGAACACTATTCCTTCAACTTCCCTTACTCCTCATGAAATGAGGGTTACAGGAGTTGAGTAAAAAGTCCTCCAGCTCACCATTATTGCAAAATAATGAAATCACTGCCCCTTCAGGTCTCTAACCATACTTATAACTACCATGGCTGGTCAACCACCCTCCAGTCAAGAGCCAAGAGAGCAGCAGCCTATTCATATTCAACAATTTCATCATATTGCGTTTTGCTTACCCTTTACTGCTGCTCAGCCAATTAATTAGAAAATGGATAATTTCTAATGGAAAACCACATCCAGGTTCCTAACCTGTGAGTACTGTCTTCAAAATTTTAATAGTGAAATTTTTAGTTTCCTTTTTTCTCACCTATTTTTATGGCAATATGTATTATTTAATAATACATGGGGAAACATGTACAAGCCGATGCAAAAATCACATTACAAATAAAAAACAGCTATAAAATAATTGAAACATTTACCACTGGTAATAGAAAATTCTGTATTTTATTTTTTAATAACAAGTTTGTAAACTAATATGGTAGTGTTTTCCTCTGCTTTTTAATTTTTTATATAAACAGATATAGTGTATAATACCATATTTACTATATTTTCATTTCAATTAAATTACATATATAAGAGAGGGTATGTGTTTGTTTGTATGTGTATATAAACAAACCACTAAAAAGAAATAAGAGACCAGTATCTCAAAGCCTATATCTATTGAAGAACAATTAAGTTGGCAGCCCACACATAGAGAGGTTACATATAACTCTCAGCAGAAATTCCAAGAGAAAATTAGTTGTAAATGCTTATTCTCAGCAAGTATCTTAAAATACAGTTTTGTAAAATTCTATTCTGGAGAAGTGACTTTTTTTCAACGCAAGCAAGTAAAGTATTTCCTCTTTCTGCCTACCACCCCACCATTATCATCATCATAAGGATGGGTAAGTAGATTTTCTGCTTGGGCTGCTAAATTTTCAAGACAATTTTGCAAATTTATTATAGCTCTATACCCTTGGGTCTATGCTCCTAGCATGTTACATAGCCAGGTCACTGTGCATAATGCAATTACGCAGCCATGCAAATGTGTGCATAATTTTCTTTTGACCAAAATGCAGCACAAGTCTGCTTGTGCTACATAAATAATCTCAGAAAGTGATTTTTCTGCATCCTCCTAGCTCGTAACTTTTTTCCTGTTCTTTTATAAGCTTTGTATGAAAGGATGGTGGATTATATGGCTAGCTATTCTTCAAAAGAGGGAGTAAAAGACATGCAGTAGCATGAGTTGCAGATGAGGATGAAGTAGGAGGAAGTACTATACTTAAAATATACTGAAGTGATGATCTGCTCTTGTGCAGCTTTATGAGGGAATAGAACCTGCCTCATTCTCCTCTTAGGCCATGCAGAAAGAAAATTCCATGGCTGTGTGGATTAGTAACTCCGGATGGCTGCAGCATCTC